TTTTTTGTTGCAGTTTGACTAGGGCCAGGTTCAAACCCACCACTCTCAGTATATGGGGCCGGCGCCCTACCCACTGAGCCACAGGCACTGCCCACTGCTGCAGTTGCCTTTGTTGTTTAGCTGGCCTGGGCTGTGTTCAAACCTGCCAGCTTCAGTGCATGTGGCCGGTGCTGTAACCACTGTGCTGCAGGTGCCAAGCCTATTTACCTAATTCTTGATGTACATTAGGATGTTGACCACTTTTCAATAATACGTATTTCATTTATTCCAGTTATATTGTGAGTATTGTAGTTACATTTAAAGTATAGAGTTTAACGTCCATGTCACTTTAACTTTTTCAGTATTTTCTTCCATTTTTCTTCATGTCTTCTTTAATTTATTCCAGGTTTCTATTAACTTCGGACCTTGCTTCAAGTACCCTCCAAAGGACCTCACCTACCGCCCTGTGAGTAGCATCACAAGCGTCCTCATGTGTCCTCGGCATCTTTGTTTGTTGCCGCAGCTGCTCTCATCACCTGTTTGCCTCTGGTTCCTCCTGCAGATGAGTGACATGGGCTGGGGCGCTGTGGTGGAGCACACCTTGGCTGACGTCTTGTATCACGTGGAGACGGAAGTGGATGGCCGGCGCAGTCCCCCATGGGAACCCTGACTAGGTCCTGCCTTCTTTTCAGACATGAACTTTCTGGACAAGAATACTGGGGTTTTGTTATTATTTCTGAACTATCTCAGATGTTCTCCCAAAGATGCTACAGAACACAGCCTCTCCTCCCCGCAGGTTAAAAGGCTGGACAGTTCTGGGGGGGCTCCCTGCTCATCAGCATTCTCTCCCCACTTCCAGCGACTGCTTTTATTCTGTGTGCCATAAGCCAGCAACTCTGACCCCAGGACCTGTAAGCTCTCTGTGAACTTGGTGCTGTGCCACATCCCCTGCCAGCTGGGACTTGTTACCTTACTGTGCTTTCTAAGAAGTAAATGTTCTTGTCCAGATGAGTAGCTTCTTTAAAGCATTGCTTTCTGTGGGCAGTGACTCCATCTGACCTGTTTTCCAAGGAGTGGTGGGTCTGTTTCTAAGAAGAGCTAAAATCTGGCTGTATGTTCTAAACCAGTCTAAAAGCTATTTCCTTTTTAGTGTAAGTTTGGCTTTGTTATTAATTCTGAAATACACTTTTGGACACTGAGATCTTGGAAACTACTGGATCTAAGATCTTGGAAACTACTGGATCTAAGATCTTGGAAACTACTGGATCCAAGTAATTGTGAAAGAAGTTGCTTGCAGCTTTAACAAAATGAGAAACTCTTCCCAAATAAAATTTGTTCTGAGGTTTCTGTGGCACTTTGCTTCCCTTTGGGGTCGGTTCCTCTTACAACCGTGTCAGAAATATGGGTAATATGAGAAGGGGAGCCAGCGTGAAGGAAGAGGCAGGTTTCTGCCTTGTGTCTCAGCCACTCTCCTGAGACTCCCATTCTCACCAGCCAAATCAGCCACCCCGTTTATCCTGTGAAAACTGGCACCTCAGAGAGGTGATGTTTGTGGTCTCCCTCCTGCTCTTCTCTTTGAACGGGAGTACTGATACTTGCAAGTAGTTTTCCTGCCTTGCTTATCTTCCTTTGTAATAGCTGATGATTAAAGGGCAGTTTTCAGAATGTTAAAAACTGGGGCCAGACATGGTGGCTCATACCTGAAATCTCAGCACCATGGGAGGCCAAGAGGCTCACTTGAGCCCAGGAGTTTGACACCAGCTGAGGCAATAGTGAGACTCCTCTATGAAAAATGTAAAAAAACTAGCTGGGCCTAGTGGCATGTGGTGAGCCAGGAGGATCACCTACGCCCAAGAGTTTGAGGTTGCAGTGAGCTATAATGACACCACACACTCCAGCCAAGGTAACAGTGAGACCTTGTCTCAGAAAAAAAAATGTTAAGCATGAGCCTTCTTTTGGGATTCCTTGATAAGATAGCAACTTTGTCTCCCTTTTTAAATTCATCAGTCTCCAGCTTTACCAGCACTGCGCAGCGCCTCTCTGCATAGAACTCTTCCAACATATTAACAGGTAGAGTGGATAAGGTAGCTGATAATGTCCCTGCAAGACCACGATATATTAAAATAGCTGGGCATTGTGGCGGGCACCTGTTAGTCCCAGCTACTCTCCCGAGAGTAGCCCTACTTGCCTGGGCTGAGGCAAGAGAATTACCTAAGCCCATGAATTGGAGGTTGCTATGAGCTGTGATACCACAGCACTCTACCAAAGTAAGTAGAGTGACAAAATAAGACTCTGTCTCTTAGAAAAAAAGGAAAAAAAAAAGATCACCATATATTAGACCTATGACTTTTGTGAATATCTTTTTTTTTTTTTTTGGAAACAAAAGAGTTTCACTATGTCACCCTGTGTACAGTGCTATGGCATCACAGCTCACAGCAACCTCAAACTCTTGGGCTTAAGCAATTCTCTTGCCCAGCCAAGTAGCTGGGACTACAGGTACCTGCCACAATACCCTGCTATTTTTGTTGTAGTTGTCATTGTTTAGCAGCCCCAGTGCATGTGGCTGGCACCCTAGCCACTGAGCTATGGGTGCCCAACCAGCTTTTATGAATATCTTGTCATTTTTCTGTTTAAGAAAGTTTTCAAATTTCAAGAGAATATTGGTATCTTAACACAGAAGCACAAATATATTTGTCCCGGGCTGGGTGCAATGGCTTATGCCTCTAATCCTAGCATTCTGGGGGCCAAGGTGAGGGATCGCTTGAACTTAGGAGTTTGAGACCAGCCTGAGCAAGAGAGTGAGACCCCATCTCTACTAAAAATAGAAAGTAAGCGGGTGGATCATGGCAGGTGCCTATAGTCCCAGCTCCTTGGGAGACAGGAGCAAGAGGATTGCTCAAGCCCAAGAGTTTGAGGTTGCTGTGAACTAGCTAATGCCATAGCACCCTCCCCAGGGTGCAGAGTGACACTCTTACCTCAAAAAATATATACATATACACACAAACACATATATTTGTTGCTGAATAAGTCACCAGACTTTGATTTGGCCATTCCATATCTTTTAAAGGAAACAAGACAGTTGGTATTGATTGTAGGATAGAGTTTCAGTTCTAGACACCTAATAATTCATGGGCTGATCTTAAAAGGGCAGACCATTATGAAGCTTCTAGGTCACCAGAGTTTGTGAGGGACTCCCAAGAAAATGAGGGTGGTGGTATTTAGAGGAAGGTGGAGGTAAATCCTTTGTATTATAAATTACCACAGATATTACCCACTCTCCATCTAAGTTGTAAAACTATATTTGGTTACAGAAATGACGATTTTTTTTTTTTTTTGAGACAGTCTCAAGCTGTCTCCCTGAGTATAGTGCTGTGGGGTCACTCACAGCAACCTCAAAGTCTTAGACTTAAGAAATTCTCTTGCCTCAGCCTCCCAGGTAGCTGGGACTCCAGGGACCTGGCAGAGTACCCGGCTTTTTTTTTTTTTTTTTTGGTTGCAATTGTCATTGTTGCTTTAGCTGGCCCGGGCCGGGTTCGAATCCGCCAGGCTCGGTGTATGTGTCTGGCACCCTCCTCACTGACCCACGGGCACTGCCAATAACGACATTCTTGATAAACTTCATATCCTAAAAACTGTTTTAATAAGGTTTCAAGGGCTCAGAGAAAATACCTGTTTTTCATATAGTCCCATTCATGCATACAGTAGTTTTTGTAATCAGATCACCAGTGACAACTTGTTTTATTCCAATGTGAAGTTGAAAAGGAAAATATCTCCACAGAGACCACAAAGACAGTTACATTGTTTGAAGGAGGTAAATTGTAATCCAGCAAACAGATGTCTGTTGAAAGCCCATTTCATTGTCAGCTTGTTCTCTGAAAACTAGAGTCTATGTTGCTTTCATAAATCTTTAAACCAGTCACCATTTTCTCTTAGCTGGTAATGGATGATAATTCTGCTCTAGAAATCCTTCTCAACATCTATCCCCTCTCAACTTTGAGGCTCTTGTCTAAACAATTTTATCCACGACAAAAACAGACTAAGAAACAATTGAAATAAGTTATAATAAATATCTGTATCTGTTGCAAAATTTTAATAACCTCAATAAATACCAGTGTTTCTACTGCTGCTATTTTGCTTAATAAGCTAAATCACCATTTTTCTAAATGGTGTCAATCATCAATGCTATTAAAACTAGAATGGAAGTAGTAAGGTAGTAATGGTGATTTTTTTTATCCTATTAACATATTTGAGCAAATCCCAATTTATATTTTTATTTTTTATTCTTTTTTTTATTTTTTTGAGACAGAGCCTCAAGCTGTCCCCCTGGGTAGAGTGCCGTGGCATCACGCTCACAGCAACTTCCAACTCCTGGGCTCAAGCGAGTCTCCTGCCTCAGCCTCCCAAGTAGCTGGGAC